GTCACGTGCTGGTTACAAACTGCCTTCTTTATATCAATACAGTCATCAGACTAATATATAGAAAGAGAACGTGACTCTTCTTTCCTTTTCCTGTTACCTGCTTTTACAAATTCCATTTAAAAATACATAGTCACAGTTGAAAAAGTCTACATCCAAATAAACTAAGAAGTGTTTCATCACTTATTGTAGAACAAAGCATATGCAGACAAGTATTAGAAAGTAAAGTGGAGGTTGCATTTGCTTCCCAGTCCGCTTTGCTTTTTTTTTCTTAGAATGAGAAACAAATAAATGGAAGTTGTATGTCATCTTGGAAAGTGAGGGGACATGATGTGCACATTGAAAATATACATGCTTAGCCTAAAGCAAGCCTTGATATGAATRTGATATGGTTATTMCAGCTTGATGAGTGCTAGGTACATGCAGCAGCTTTCTCTTTTGTTTGACATCTTTGGCCTCAACTGGGTTTCAGATCTGATCAGTGCTGCTCTGGTAAGCCCACAGTGGTGGCATTCTGTAGTGCCACTGGCTCATTAGAAAACTTCAATGAAATATAAGCTTCCACTTCTTTCTTGACATTTCTTTCTGGAAGAGAAGGAAATAATGGGGAAGAATTGCTATTGATGTTTTATTATATGTAATAAACCTTTGGAAAGATAGCAGCTTTTCTTAGGAATAACTAGGCAAAGATTCCAGATGCTGAAAGAGCCCATTATATTCTTTAGGAGGTGAATTGCTGTTTTGGAGCTATAGATGGTTTAAGCAATAGCAAGGCATTGGTTTTAATTTACCTGGACATCAGTATTTCTTGCATTCCTGTTGCAATAGCCTAATTAGGAAAAAGACAAGGAGAAATATGAAAGTGGAACCATTTCTAGTGATCTTTTTCCTTCCTCTGAATAGAGTGTGGGGAAGAGACAGTGAGATGCACAAAGCCATTAGGTTTTCAGCTATTGCTGTTAGAGAGATTAAAACTCTTAGCCCAAGAGTCTGTGTATATGTTTGAACAGAGAAAGTGATTTTCATTGCAAGGAGCTCTGAGTGAGACAAGCAGAGTCTGAGAATAAGAGAGCAAAAGAAAATTATCTAAATTATGTTCAGGCTCTTATCGAAGACGAATATAGTTAAAATGTAATTAAATATGACACGCTTACAGGATGCAAGCATGGCTTYGGAATGCTAATCATCAATTACTGCATCTCCTTAGGGTACTCAGGCAGAGCAAGAGAGTTGGCAGTTGGGTGGCTGAGGTGAGATGTAGAGTGTTAAACACTCTAGGACTGTAACAAGGCTAATTTCTTTTTAAAAATGAAACTGCTAGTTAAAAGACTTGCAGTGCTGAATTGCAGCTTGAGGGTCCTGGTATAAATCTGAGTAGGCTGCTTGCTCTGAGTCTTCGTTTTCAGATGGAAACCTCAGCTTGACGCAGTGATTATTTCTGTTGTGAAAGTGATGACCAGAACTGCTGCAGACTGAGCCAGCAAATCTAAAACAAATCAACCAGCAAGACAAGTGTCAACGCAGAAAAAATACCAACACTGCCTGAATATTTAATAAAGCTAAACCCTGAAAAATATATTTGTTGTAGGGTCACTAATAAGGTGTACAGAGACACAGAAAGTCAGCAATGTCATTTTATGAGAGAAGTAAATTCTGATAGCTTCTTTATGACTGTGTCCTAGGTAAAGACAGTGAAAGTATTGCCACCAGTTTGAAAGATTTGTTTGTTTGGCATACAGGAGTAAAGGTGAAGAGATGCCATCTATTACACAGGACTATCCAATCCCAGGCTAAAAACCAAGTGCTTTTGATATGCTTTAATGCTGCTGTTCCTGGAATAGAGTRACTTATGTGTGAATCAATGCGAGAACTATGTATAAAGTTTGGAAGAAATTTTTGTAAAGGCCATCAACAGTGATTTTGAGAATGGGAAGACTAGCTCTTGTGAGGAAAGTGTAAAGTAAGTGCATATGCATGGTAGGACTAGATAAATGACATGACTGCAAAACAGTTTGCAAAATAGAATTTCTACMGAGAAACTGAAATTATTTAAATAGTAAATAGTAGAGATAACTAGTAGTAAGAAAGGAAGGTTAAAAAGGAATTTAAGGTTTACCTGTAATGTCTTTAATTGAGGAACACAACTAAAAAATTGTTATGGCTTTGTACATAGTATTCAAAGTGAATTTGTTATATCAGCAAAAAATGCAAAAATAGGTCAGATATATCTTGATAATATTCTGTTAGTAATCTCTTTTCTCATAGGGGTGTAGTTACGTGAATAAATTATCTCTTTGCTGCATAATTTTGTCTATACTGCAGAGGCATTGCTTTGCATATATTGACATTCTCAGATGTACTCTTGCAGTCAAATCTATTCTTGCAGTCAAATCCACGCAACTTTCTAGTGAAGAAGGTTTGCCTTGCTTATTTCAAAAGTGATTCTTTCCAAATCTATTGGCTTGTTTTCTATTTTGCTTTTCTTCTTTTTACTAAGGAAATGAAATGAGACACCTAATTTTCTCATTGCACAATCAAATATTAATTCTCTAGTTGGAATATTCTTGAATTTTAGTAACTTCTACAAGTTGTCTATAATTTGACTTTTTCCAGTGGGAAAGGAATAAGTACCAAAATAGTAAATATTCTCAGGACTGAACTGATTGAAAATGTTACCTTCCTTCGGGTCTCAAGATTTTTTTTTTTTTTATTCTTTTCCACTATATTTTAATATTATTAAAGCATTGTAGCAGAAAGTAAGGACTTGTAATGCAGTGGGAAGTGTACACGTACAGGAGCTTCCTGGAGGAGTTGATCTGGAAGTGTCATCAAAAGGATCTTCAGAGACCTTTTTCACAATCTGTCTTACTYTCTGTCATGCTCTTCAGCTACATTCCCAGAGAGATGCATCAGCTTTCCTGTTGTCACATTATAGGACAGACAATGGCATTTTCTTCTATCCTTGGAAAATCTGCACTGAGCTCTTGCAGTGTGTATTTGACCAGTGCTCAGAAATAATAGAAATAAATACAGACCCACTTCTATTCTGTTCTATGGTCTATAATTAACATATTTTCTTATCACAGAACATAAACTCTGCATTAGTGTTTAAGAAGGCACAGGCTCTTCTTAATAGCTTCTTTAGGATTTTAAACTCTTTTATTTAGTATAGCTTTGAAATATTTTACAAGTCACTGGAAAGCAAATCTGGTTTTTACATCATTGCTTTCTTTGCATAAAGTTTGTGTGTGTAAATGTCAAAGCATATGGATTATGCAAACCRTGGCAATGCTTTGTTATGAGAAGTACAGTTGTGATCATCTATTTGTCCCAGCCTCCCATCTTTGGGATTTTGTAGTTCAAGGTAACAAGTGCTGTTTGGCCGTGGAGATTCATTGTCTGGCTGTACTGGAATAATGTGAGAAGGAATTTCAAGAATTATCCTCTTTAGAGGGTTTTCAGGTCTTGGAACAATCAACAAAGTAGTCCCTTTCCATTTTATATTTTATTTAAAGCRTGAAGAAACAGCCTGAGCTTTAAAGTAGAGATATAGCCACATAAGGGATAGAAATAAACCATACCATTAAGTAGATAACTGTTGTGCCTCTGGGGCCTGCCACAGACCACCCCTTTCTGTTGTCATGAATGACTCTAATTACACCTACTGCCTCATGGAGTAAGACCAGTAAACTACTTGATATTAGTTTACTTGTAATCTTAAAGCAAATATAACCAGACAGCAGTGATAAAAGTAATAGCCAACTAAATTAAGCCCAGAAATGCTATGTTTGTGACAAAGRGAGTTTTCCCACTAAGGGAAAAATYGAATGTCTGACAAATAGTCAGCARCCAAGCTGTCCATACTGCCYGGCTTCTGGGTAGTCTACTGGTAGTGACTGGTGTTCTAYTCCCATTTTGCTTTGGTCCCTTTTSCTTACATGAASATTCCTGAATGTACTCTGAATCCATTCTGGAAAACTATCCAGTGTTTTTTTTTCCATAGTGAGTTAATCAAGTTAAACCTAACTTCATTTTAATTTCTGAAAGATCTGTGATAGAGTCTAGTTTGCCTGAAAAGTTTAATTCTATATTTTGTTTTCATGTTTTATGACTATAAAATAATTTCAATTTTAATATGTTCAAGTACTAGTCTAGTGGAAAACTGGTATCAGATGGTAACCTCTAGTTCCTGGTGTTCTTTTTATTTGTTTTGTTTTACTGTCTGTTCTGTAAGCACAAAGTTATGGTATCCTTTTCCTGCTGTGTATTAGGCTGCTTGAGGTGTTGCACCTCACTCAGCTCAGAAGAGGATGAGTGAGGAACGAAGATTGCAGTGGTCCAAATGTACCTCTAGTGCTCTCAGTCTAGCCCGAGAARTTATACACCAACTCTGCAAGAGTGGTCTCACTGCCTCTGTGTCAGGATGGAGAAATGCTTACAGCCTGAACTGCAAATGGTGCTTCATGTCATTTGTAACTTCCTGGAAGACTTTTGCCTGCAAAAAGAAAGCTTAGCTGCTCTGCCTCCACTGCTCCACTTAGAGTGCAGAAAGTTTGAGGGTTTAGGTGGTTTTGTTTGGGGATTTTTCCTCCTAGAGCTGTAATTTTCTTTAACCAAGTGAGTAGTTAACAGGAGGATGCATTTACTTTTATGTGTCTGACTGTTTTCTTAATCTGATACAGTCAATGTTAGTCAAGGATTTTGGACTTTGATCCAGGCTTTTATTCTTTTACCATTTTCTTAACTTTCAGCAATAGCATGATTGTTGTCCCTGCACACAAATTAGAGTGGTATAAGGTATGTATGAAATCACATAAGCAGAGTCAAGACACTTAAAAATGAGCAAGGAGTGCTGGAAATTCAGGCAATGAAAAGTTTTTTTCCATTTGCCCTGTTAAGTGATAATAGTATATAGTGTCACTTGAATTCATTCTGTATATTTTACTGCAAGCTTTTTGTGACTGTGTTCAATATTTGTATGTCTTTCTGAATTTTCTTTGTAGATCCTGGCAAACAATCACTTTTGATAAACAGCCTGCATCTTTTATCAGAATAGTTGGAACTCGCAACACAGCTAATGAGGTAAGGAACTTCTAGAAAACATTCTGTTCTTCATGAATATACAACAGCACAGTTTTTCATAACTTGCAGTGAAACTGATAAGGCCTTCTCAAATGTTCATACTTCATCTTTTTGCTCTGGCAATCTAGCAAAACACTTGAACAGCATTATTATCTGTTTCTGGTTTTGACCTTTCCACACTACCAGCAAATATTCCTATTGGGTTTGGTTTTAAATTAATCCTTGTTTTGATGAGCAATTAAAATACCACTTTAGTGCACTAGAGAAAGGTGTATGGTCTCTGATATACTTGGGTTTTATCACCCATGTATTATCTTTTTAATTAATAAAACATAAGAAAAATCTCATTATTCATAAGAAAATCTTATTTGCATAAGATTCACTTATAATTAATTTTCATACCTGGTAAACTGGTTGACTGATACYGGCCAAATCAAGGGATTTTGTTCATTTTATACAGAAAAAATTATTTTGTCCTAACCCACCAAGGGCAATATCATCCCAACTTCATTTGCTTGTGCTTCTGTCTTTTGTAATTGTYGTGTGTTGTCTCAGATTAAGTCCAGTTTCACTCTTGACTTCAGTGAAACAATTTACARTATATGAATTTAAGAGTATATGTAAGTCTTTGTGAAATTAGGACTCTATATTACAGGATTKTAAGAGGCACCAGAAGCTTGTGTGTATGCACACGCATACACATGTCTGTATCCCACACATGTAGCTCACCACCCAACATGCTGCTTTCATGCTTTACATTAAACTCGAGATAGCACCATTACATTTGGATTAAGAAGAGTTTGTCAGCTCCAGAGGYCAGGATTTCTGATCATGTTAGCTGTAGGTTTCTAAGCATTAGGAGCATTGTCCGTGTCCAGTTGTAGCTCAACTCTTGCAAACAAATGCAGCACCAAGTATCAACATTTCAGCCAATAGCTGGAAAGCAGCTGACCAACCAACAGAACTGGGAATACAAATTTTTATTTTGTGTTTCTAAGCACTGTCTCCTGCAATGTACAGTTCAATCTTAATCAGTGAGTTCTTAGAAGTAGATTCAGGAGCTGCCTATGGGATTGTACATGTGTGAAGAAGGCCTTTTCCATTACTGMTCCATATTGACAATCTTGTTTCCTCTCATGCCAGTGTTTGTAATTTTTCAACTCTTTGTTAAAAAACAGTGAGGTACATTGCATAAACTTAGCAAATCAGCCTACAGGAAACATTGCTTTCAACTTAGAATTCTTAAAGGTAGCTTTGAGCCCTGAAGAGCAATGGCCTTTTAGTCATTGTTCTAATTTCAAATTGGTTACTATTTCCAAGGATTTAATAACCTGTGTAATTATTTATATGGAGCACTGAAGAACTATAGCGAAGATGAGTATGGCTAGAAGTTACAGCTATTTATGTATTATCTCAGTTGAATTATAAACACATGCTGCTTTCGTTTGTCTTTTTCTCTTTAGTCTTTAAAATCTGTACCCAACACTATTTTTTTAAATTTTTTTTATTTTTAGTTATATTTATTTTTAAATTATTTCTCCTAACACTTGTAGAGTAGGAACGTTGTCTGTGTGCACATATTACTAAATTATATTTCGATATATGTATATTAAATAAAAGGCCTGTAAAGTCTGCCATAAATTTTAGTTTTACAAAGAATTCAGCAAGATTTTTTTCGTATTTCCAATTTAAATAGTAAAAGTATAAACAAAGTCTTGGTTTGTTCTATAGTCTCAGTAGTTTCTTCAGTAAGAATACAAGCAGTTTCCAGAATTCCTTGCCCACAGCTGGTTGTACAGTATGTCAGATCCTTCTCATTTCAAATAAAATATACTAATGGCAGCATGTTCTTATCAAGCAGTATTACTGCAATAGGTACAAAATACTCCTTACTTGTTCTACCAACACATACCTTTAAACCCTGAAACACAGTCCATACAACCCAAAGGGAAGAGTTGATTTTTGGACTTGAAAAAAAAATCCCATAAAATTTCTTCATTTTATGAATTATTTAATTATTTAAATTAAATAATTTATTATTTAATCTTTTAAACTCATCTTTTCCTTGCCATGTTTCCCAAGTTTTGAAAAATATGATGTTCACAGATTTTTTGACTCAGAGTCTTAATAGTTTTTGGTATATCAGAACATGATACAAGTGTAACTTTCTGTCTTCTTGAGCTTACAGACATCCTACTTTTGTAGAGAAAAAAATTATTTTTCCTTAGTCCTTGTCATTATTTATTTGTCAGACAGGCCACCTGATCCTTTATGTAAGTTTCCTCTTGTTATTCCTSTCCAGTATTACTGACCTGGAAAGGACACCCAGTTGCTGATGTGAGAGCTTTATCTTACAAATTACTGTGCCAGTGTATAAGTACTTGGCCTTCCTGCTCTGTGTGTCCGACCTTTCTTAAAATATCCATGAGAAGTAGAACATGATGTGGGTCACAGGATGATACTGAGCTGTCATCTTTTTCTTTTGAGAGCAGCACATACCAGATTGTTTGTTTTAATGATGCTTTTCTGAAATACTTAATTCTGATACCGAATGAAGCAGCTGAGCTTGACTATGCTTCTCTGACTTAGGCTTCTCTCACACRCTGTGTTCTTTATATGTTGAGATGGCAGAATAACTGAAAATAATGTTCTGAATTCACAGGCTTGTCAATATGCCAATGTTTTGACCATTAAGAATTCAACATGAAAGATTCAGTAAAAATGAAAGTACAATTTACGAATTGTGTACTGGTGACTTTCTGGACTTGTATTAACTAAATTTCAGTGCTATCCACATTATGATTAAAAAAACTGTATCACTATTTAAAGTGAGGTTTTAAATGACAAACACTATTATTGTGGGATWCAGTAGAAATACAAATTCTTCTGACTTGGAGACCTCATCCCATTCTGTGCTGCCTTTCAAGGACAGCAGCGTCTTACAGAGGTGCACTGATGAGAGAATGTTCTTTTCTGTAAGGCCTTATCCTGAAAAATGCAGCTGGAAAATTACAATAGTGTACAATTAAAAATGTGCAAGTGTGTTGAGTACAAAAGGGGCTTTACTAGAAGTGTAACTAAATACAAACACTGGCTTCTCAAGAACTGTAACAGATGGAGAGAATTCATGCCAGTATGGGAATTAGTTCAGCTTTAGGAAAAAACAGAATAAATGCAGAGGAAAACCATTTTGTGCATGTGTCTATGTGTGGATGCTGGTGCAGATTTGTAATCTGTTCATATATGTGTGTATATAAGGGTATAGCAATACATTTTCATATGAGCATGAGTATATTAAATGAAATACAAGGATGTATTGCTATCTGTCTGCATAAAAAACTTACACWGAGAGGCACAAGAAAATACAATGGGGATTAAAAAAAAACAAGCTGTGACTGAAGATTTTTTAATTCATTTTATATATGCTTTCAGAATTTGAATTAGCTAGCTTTATCCTCAGAAAAGACCTGGGGCTACAGCAAACATGTCAGTGCAGATGTCTGCTTAATGTTTACTTGAGGGATGGTCAAAAAGAATAATAAGATTTTAGGTTGTATTTAAGAAAAGATAGAAAATWTAATATTCTGTAGTCTTGTATGAATATTTAGTATATCCATGTCTTGTTTATGATATTTGATTTTGCCCAYATTAACTTGAAAGGGTCTGGGAAAGGGCAGTTAAGATTATAAGAGATTACCTTTGTTTGTGAAAAGAGCTTTTTAGATGTGATCTACTTGCAAGAATATTAGAAGATGACATAAAACTATACAAAGTTAAGACAGTTAGTTTAAAATTCAGGATTTAATACTCATCAAGCTTTAGCTTTAAAACTACAGTGCATGGGAAAATAGTAAATTTTAAAGCAGTGTAAGAAAATATTTATGTTTAGTATGTGGCAAAGCTGTACAATTCATAGAAATGAGAAATCATATGGAAAGAAGTTTTGTAACAATTTTAAAGAGTTCCTMCCCCTTCTCCTCCCAGGCTCTTCAAGAACAAGTAGAAGTAAGTAAAGTAGAAAATAAATTGGAAAAAATGCTTAAGCACATGATCCTCTTACTSTAAGATACAGTCACCTGTGCACTGGTCCCAGGTATTGTTTGAATCATCAGAGAATGATCACTATTTCAAATGGAATATTTCATCTGATGAAGCAGCAGCCAGCTTGGACACTCTGAATGCCTTTCTACATACTCCAGGACATGTTTGTAGAGTGCCATTGCTGTTACAGCAGAGGGCAATCTTGAAATAGAATCATGTTGGTAATGATTTAAATTTCATTTCTAGTGTGCATGAACATTCAGCCTTTTGAGGAAGTGATTAGATCATAAAATGCGTTTAAGACAATTAATACAATTGTTGTTAYTACCATGTAGTAGGTATTTCTGCTACTTGGCAAAGAAAAAAAATCATTTTCTAATATCCCTATCTGCTTTGGAACCATATTACTGATATTTAGYGCCTTTTGTAAAGGTTGGTATAATTTGAAGGCCTTCTCTTGCTCCAGTGTTGTCCCCATGTAATGTTTATTGCCCATGGGTAAATGTTTTTGTCCTCATGGTGAAGCATTCTATTTTGACTAATTACTCTGCCACTGACCTGGCCTTCAGACTTCCACATAGACTTCCATATAGATTTCATCTTACTTTGATCATGCTTTTGCCATCATTAAATTGTTTTGCTTTACCTTCATTTTTTCCTCTCTGCAGGTGTTTCACTGTGTGCATTTTGAATGCCCAGCACAAAACASTACCCACAAGGATGAGAGTAGTAAGGAAGTAGCAACAACTGAGGTGGGGACTGGTGGACAGTAGCTTGTTTCTCAYCCTGTTGGAGCTGCAAGCACTGGTTCCCTGCATTCCCCTCCTGGATCCACCTCTCATGTTCATCAGCCATAAAGGAGGTTGAAAGGGAGCTTTGGCGGCCCCACTGACATTCTATGAAATTATTCAGGACCTTCTTGTGCTGGCACCTTTTCTTTCTTTGTGAATGAAGGGGACCATGTCTGAAAGCTGGAAATGCTGAAATGGAAAAGGCTTTTTTCCCAAGGACATGAAGAGACTGTTTCACTCTCCTTGATTTGTTCAAATCAGGCTGGTCTCCGAGGGGGAAGAAAATAGGTCTTCAATCTTCATCAAGTACCCCATTAACACCCTACCTCTCTAATGTAACCAAGGCAAGGAAAAAAGAAGGAAATAAAAGGCAGAGCTACAGTGGAAATCTAAAATTACTCAAGCAGAATGGAAAGCATATGAAATAAATATTTGTTCCCTGGAGGTTTTTATTAGCAAAAAAAAAATGTTTATGGAACACATCAGTCCAAAATATATTTTATTTTTAAAGTGATTCTTCATCCATATTCCTTTGTACCTAGTAATCTGTTTTCTAAATAATTTTGATTCTGTATTCTACTTTGTCTCTTATTTTTGGCTGTAGCAAATGCTGTACAGTAGATTAAGGATGTATCAGACACGTTTACCTGCTGAGATGGAAATTCTCTCATTCATCAGTGGGATGACAAGAAAAGCATTCATGGTATCAACAAACTAATTACTGTATCTATATTAATCTTGACCTTAATTGACTTTTCAAAGTACAAAATTGTCATTTCCTGCATTCAAAAGGAAGTTCCTAAATCAAACATCTGTCTTGAAGAAAATTGTATTTTTTCACTCCTGAAGATGATTATTTAAATTTTGCCTGCATTTCTAAGACAACTTGTAACAGAACATCAAAAATGTTTGGTTTAGAAAAGTGGAACTCCATCTGGTCACTGGCAAGCAGTTGTTCAAATACCAAAAGAAGAATTTGCAGATAACTTACATTTTTCCTAGAAAAGTTGTTTTACGGTCTGGAGCTAAAAATTCAAAGGCTGTGTATGCATTAACATTTCTCATGATCTTCATAAAATGTGATGCTTTTGCACCATATTGTAAAAGAACTGGTTCTTATTTTACAGTTACAGAATTTGTTATCCATCCATGCCTCTCTGGATTACTTTGCCTGCTACTTTGCTTGTTCTGTTTTCACACTGATGATGATGCAGTCTCTTATTCTCCTGACCTGCATGACTCTTAGGAAGAACTCCATGCTGGTCTTTCAGTACGGGATAAAGAGATTTTGTATTAAGACAAATGCTGATATTATTGACAAAATTGATTAGGATGGTTGTTCCTGCTCACAAAGTGTATTATAGTGAAAATGTCAGCTAACCAGTTTTATGAACTTAGAATTTCCTGTGGTGATAAATAACCTTGTCAGAAGTAAACAAAGCTAGTGCAGGATAAATATGGTTTTCCTTTGCATAACCATAGTTGTAAAATGAGTTATATCAACATAGCAAATTGTATGTTAWTTTATCACACTACTTAATTTGAAATAATTTCCCTGTTGGATACTAGTTGTGCTAAACCCAAGAAGAAATATAATCAGTGGTAGCAATGAATCAGAGTATATTTCAAATAAGAAAAGCGTCCCTTTTCTTTCAAATAAAATTGATTAGGCTTTATCAATAATATTACAGTATTTTTCATTGCAAATTACAATTTAGTTCTGACATTTGCATATAGTTCCCTCCCTTTCCACTGCTGTCTCCTGACTTGTGAATGTCTGGTGAAGATGGATGCCCACTGTGCTGTTTAAAGCCTGTAGTACAAGTGCCACAGCTGCCTTAGATGGTCTGGAGTTCTGAGGCAGGGGACTGCTTGTGCCAGCCACCTCCCAGTCTGCAGGGCTGATTACCTTATGGCTCAACAGCCTTGGGASCGTGAAAGAATTGAGACCAGCTACTGAGGACACAACTCTCTTGTTTTTGCATAAATCCAAAATGTTGGAATTTTTTTCCCTGTGAAAGGTAAAAGCAGAAAACTTTTTCAGTTGCAATTCATGCTGGAACTACTGAGATGCCTGGAGCATGTCTTGCCTTTGGTACRTAAGTCCTTCAGTGGCAGGGGTGGTATTTCTTTGCAGTTCATCAAACAAGTCTGCTTTTCTCAAACTGTGGATAAGCTAAGGGCATATCTTCCTAGCTGTTAGTATTTAGTAGCCACCAGCATAGAGAATGTTAAAAAAAAAACTAAAAAAAAAAAAAATTGTGCCATCTGTTCTGAGCCTAGGCTCTCAGAGAAAGAATAGGATTTTTCCATTTCTAATCTTTGATGTGCATAGTTAATTCTTATGATACAAATAAGTCTTGTGGACTGTAACCTACGGAACATCTTTTTGATCTTGTCCTGTAACTCATTGTGGAACAGAAATGTCTCTTTTCTCATGACATTCACTCTCTGCCAAGAATCTGGCTGAACACATCTGAGATTCTCAAAGCAAAAACTCTAAGGTCCTACAGACCTTTCAGTTTCCCACCCCCATAAATAAATAAAAAGACAAAACAACTTTGCATTGTCCCTTCATGCAGCTGAATAGCAATTTTTAGTATTAGACTTTGTCACAATGGCCTTTATCAGAGTCTGTTTTATTTAGAGTTGCTCTTAGAACCTATCATCAGGGTGAACACAATGAGCCCCCAGGCTTTTAAGGCATGCCCTGCTACAAGCCCTTCACACTTTCAACCTTTCCCTTTTTAATTAAAGAAATAATGTTTACAGAGAACTAAACTCTGCTGGTCCTTCTAATTTTGCCCACCAACAAACAGCACTAATACCTAATGTAAAAGATGTCTCTTAAACATTGTGTCAGCAACGGATTAGTAGTGATGAAGATACAAGTCAGAACTGATTGTGGTTTTGTGTGGAAGTTCTCACTCTAATTGTTGTCTGTATTTATTGACTCCCAATTTCGAATGTACTTGCTGTATATTCCCCTGAAGGGTTTTTTTTTTCCTTTTCTCTTTTATCTTTGCTTTTCCTTTTAGTGGAAATAAGTTGTGCTGTTAGTATCAGGGTTTATCAGTGTGATGAAATGCTGTAATTATTCAGAATTGTGTAATCAGTCATATCCTATTTACAGCAGGGTTAGAGCAGACCAGGTGTTTGTTGCTTTCYTAATAAACTATAAAATAGACCTGTTGTTAGGAGTTCCTAAAGRAACTAACTATACTGATACTAATAGCCATTGATTCTATCTGATATTTTAGTATCTTTAAATTCCCCAGACCTACTTTTCTCAATTTTAGTTCCATAGGTTGAATTTCATACTTAGACTTAACTCATGTGGAGCTCAGCAAAGGCCTAAAAACTTTTTATTTAGTTAACTTCTCCCAAATGAAAATTCWTTAAGTTTTTTTATTCACAGAATGTAGGGGAAAATAATTGTCTGAGAAAATTATTTTTTTAAATGAGTAAACATTGTGCAGCTTACAATTTTTCAAGATGCTATTCAAGCCATTTCCAATCAGCTCTAAAACAAGTTMAAATGGCTGGTAAATTGAATTACAATGAGAGAAGTTAATCCAAGTCTAATGTCAAAGATAGTACAGGAGGCATCACAAATTTTGTTGGAGTAAGAAATCTTCTTTGCAGTTTCCTTCCTTCAAAGCTCCATTTCTTTCCTCTTTTCTCCATGAAAATCAGTTTTCCTTATTTATTATGACAGTTCATGTAAGAGCTCAGTACTTCCCAGCATTGCTGAAAAATTCAGTTTAATGCATCTTCATCTTTACTAATGACAATATTAGAGAGTTTTCAGTTCAGTACCTGACTTGATGAACGTTGGTTTCCATGAAAGAAAGCAAAAGAAGTCTGTAATTGTTTCAGTCTAATTAAACTTTCAGTACAAAAATTAGAAGACAAAGTTAATGCCATTCTTGTCTGATTGTTGTGTCATAGTTCTGGTTATAAAGTGACGCCCACTCAGAGACACTTAATAGAATTAGAACTTAGATTTGATTTCACATGCTGTAGATTGCATTTCTCTCTGAAGATATTGATTGGCTTATATTTTGACTTTTTGTCAGGTAACAAGTGAATGCAATGGTAATTTTGTTGTTGTGGTTAGAGTAGTAAGCAAATTATTAGAGCCACTAAGAGTTAATGTATCTAAGAGTAAATGTTTAGGCTTGTGTATTATTATTTCAGTTGCCAGAGGACTAAATCATGCTTCAAAAATAATAGTAAATCCCCGAGGATGCTTGAGGCCAGGTTTCCATCCCCACTTCTCAGTTAATGGTTCTGTCTAGGTTTGAATCATTAGTTCTCTCTGAACTGATTGTTGCTGTTGCCAGTTGTACTAGTTAGCTCATGTATATATAYGTAGAAGCTCTGCAAAGCTTTGTTCAGGATACAGAAGTAAAGGTCCTGGGACAAGTTTTAGGAGTGCGTAAATGTTCACACACACATATATGTATGTGCATTAAAATGAGGTAGTAGCAAATTATTTAGCTTGAATCTAGAACAGGTTCTAAAGCTCCAAAATTAAAAAAAAAAATCTGTGCTGTCAGGTGTGARATGCTGCTGTTGTAATATGGCAGGATGCTGGTTGCTTTAAAAGTGCAAATGTCAGAAAAGGTACAGGCGTGACMGTCCAAAGATTTTGTCCAGTTTTTAAATGTTGGCAATTTGGCTGTGATGAGGTGTATACAATGTAAAGCAAGTTAGATGATCGTCTCACAGATGACTGCAGTCCAAAGAACACAGATACTCCTCCTAGCTACCTTGTTTGCCATGGCTTGCAGTGTTTACAAAGTGAACTTTCATGTGATTTTTGTTACCTGCTCAAAAAAAACCCCGCAGTCTTTTTTGCCCTTYCCCAGTTTTCATTGCAAAGCTTTGGCTGAGCTAATATCAAAGTCCCACTCACATTTCCTGGTAGAATCTGTGTCTGAATGCTTACGCAAAAACTTTCACAATCACTCTGCAGCCTTCTTTTAGATAAAGCCCAAATTAAAAATGGCAGAATAATATGAGGAAACTACAGGTATCCGTCATATGCTAAGGCACTGTGGTTGCCTGTGCAACCACACACCAGTTTTATCATACTGTGTTTAATTACTCTGGTATGTTCTAATGGTGGAAGTGAAGAATGAGCTCCATACACCCATGGCATTGTGTATTTTCACACAACCAGTCGTTAGAGAAGTAATTCTTGTAATGTTCCTTGGAGTCTAACACAATAGTATAGCTCAGTGTTTTGAGGAAATTATAATTGATTCCTTACAGGAATGTAATGGAATTGAAATTCTGATTACTAAAAATTTGAATGAGTGGTGGCATCACCGTGCACAGATGTAAACATGCCTCTCCAGTGCCTGCTACTACCTTAGGGCCTGGGCTATCACAGAGGAAGAAAGCTGCACTRTTGGTAAAATGAACTTTTATTTACTCTTTTAATATTTATCGTCTTGGCACATCTGTTTTCTTTGTGCAGCTGCTCAATTAAAACAGGTTTCTCATAATTTTTAGAATCGTCCTCTGACTTCTGAAAACTGGCAGATATACATCAACAACTTCAGTCAATTGTATTAAGTAGTCTGAGGAATTTGCAAAATGAATCCATGTGGTCTTTTATGCCAAATTCCATGTATCAAAAAAAATACCAGCTGAGTCCTCAAAAATCAAGTGAGTTGTACGCTATATTACTGCTCAAATGAGGGTTTGTGSCTAAACCATGTCCAGTGTAGTTCAAGTGAATAGTAGTTATTATAGCTTCTTTCTGTAGAGGAATCAAGGAATCATCCAACGATTGGGTTTGSAAGGCACCTCAAAGATCATGGAGTTCCCACCTCCYTGCCATGACAGGGACACATTTCACTAGACCAAGCTGCTAAGAGCCCCATCCAGACTGGTCTTGAACACTTCCAGGGGTGGGCATTCACATCTTCTCCTGTTCCAGTGCCTCATCACCCTCACAGTGAAGAATTTCTTCCTAACATCTCATCTGAACATACTCTCTGTCAGTTTGAAGCCATTCCCCCTTATCCTGTCACCACATGTCCTTGTAAAAGGTCCCTGTCCATCTTTCTTGTAGGCTCCCTTTAAGTACTGGAAAGCTGCAGTCGGGTCATCCCAAAGCCTTTTCTTTTCCACTGTGAGGAATCCCAGTTCTTTGTTAATGTAACTTTTGGTCTACATCAGCTGTTTTCTCCGTACTCCCGAGCTATAGTCACTAGGTGGTGAAATTTGTGGTTAATAGCTAGAACACGAAAAACAGCAGATTTTAAGAAATTTTTATCTTTACACGAAACTTCTAGCTTGTGCTTTTGAAACATGGTCAGGCCACAGAGTTGGCTTTTGGGCAACTTTTATAGCTGTCTGTTGGATTTTTGAGTAATCTTCWGTTGCTAAAAGATGGTAAAGTTCCTCACAGGCTTTTGAAACAATCATGGCAGGTGTATTACTGGAGAACAGGGTCAGCTTTCTTCTGCTTCTATGGGCCAGGATCTTGTTTGTGAGGGGGTTTTTGCCATTTTTAATAATGAGGGTATCATTGTATGATTTGGATCTGTTTCAGAAATTATGTCACTTTTTTGAGAGGTAAATACGTAAGTGAATGTTTTTATGCACTAATGCAAAGCTCATTTAGATTAGAAACATCACTGAGAGCAAGAGCTGGAGTTGCAAGGARCAGTTCAGGGGAAAGACTGGTATGGAGTTACATGGTTGCATCTGCATATGTAGTGGTGGAAATGTATGTGTTAGGCAAGTTGAAATGACTATTTGCAAAGATAYGTTTCTATGTGACCTTTTGTGGTTAAATTGTGGAATTTTGTTAAGGAATCTATCACTCATGTGTTTATGAGTGCTAAAAGAGGACATAGGAAGTGAGGCTTTAGTAGTTTTTTATGGGAAGAGCAACACAAAGATAGGATTCTCCCGATCTCGGCTAGTTCTGTTTCCTTCAGTCTTCCCAGCTCTTACTTTTTCCTACATGCTTTCCTCAACCTACTTGTTACTCTTTTTCTTTTCCTCCCTACATAGCATCATATCAATGTTGCTGGGGTGTTCCCTGTAACTTTCCTCTGTATTGTGATATATTAAGGAATTTTAAAAAATTATTTATTTTTTATCATATTTGTCATATAAAAATTACATATTCTTTGTCATATGCTGAATAAAATATCATCATCCCCTTTCATTCACATCAGATGCTAAAGGCAGCTACCATTGGGCTGTCAAGTGCTAGTGAGCAACATTTGAATTTGGCTGTCTATGGATATGTGAAATACTAGCCCTTTTGGACCTTGTACTTCCCTAATCTCTTTACAGTCTATTACCCTTAAGAGCAAAATTAGTAAGAAGTTTACTGTTTACTTAGGAAGTACATTAGGTTTTGTGCTGGCTTATCTAACTTAAGTTTAAATATAAATTGAAATATTTCTTTTTCACCACGTTACACCAGATATATGCTCAATTTGCTAACTGTGCATTGTTCAAGGCATTAGTTGTACGTAAGTGTTCTTTTCTAAATATACTGCATCATCAAGAGTGAACCTTGAAAGAATCCATAACTTTTCAGTGTCCCTATGTGAAGGTATTTCAGCTGTGCAGGAATCCAAACATCACACTGAGCACATGGACTCATCTTGTGAAGTGCAGCGTTACTTCACAATTTGTATCTCATGTCTATTAACCTTGTCGAGTCTCTTATAAAATGTTCTTTCCTTTGTGCTTTGCTCAATTTCACTATTGTGTTTGGATTTCTTTTCAAAGTGAATGTTAATATTCAGAGCCTGGCTAAATAGAAGTTTAACTTTTAGTGAACTTTTTTCACTCGTTCTCTGTTAGTAGCTCCTCTTTCTTGACAGTAATTTAAAGCAGTAATTTAAATCCCATTTTACAGTATGCTACRCTCCCCTTTTCTGTAGCAATTGTAATTGTATCTTGAAATTTTTGTGCATTAAATCCCTTTCCTTCTTTCTCATAGAGTCGTTCTAAACTACCTCAGACTTTGTTGTGAACAGGTACGAGTTTCAGCTACAGTTTTTAGACTTTATCGTAGCCTTTGAATGTTCTTTAAGTGCATGTGTATGTAGCAAAATCAGCCTGCCTTGCCCTGATTGCATTTTCAGGAATACTGTCCCAAGCGAGATATGTAATTGGGATGAATTCTCAGCCACACCTGTTCAGGCTCTCGCTGATACCTCTTTCAAGAAAAGCTTTTCAGGAGCGCAACTCCTGCTATGGGAAGCGCTTCAACTTTCTCTTTGAAGGGACATGACGCTGCCTGCGCTGGACAACTCCCACCTCTCTAAACCATGACAAGCGTCATAAAACTGCATCATCAGGCTCCATTCCTGGCTGCAGGATCCGTGCTATTGCATTGGACTGTGCTCATCATATGAGAATAAACCCCACATGGCGTGTTCTGATGACCTTGGTGTCATTTTATTGTCATTTGATACTGCAGCAGATACGCAKTACCAACCCTTTGGGCTAATAAGCTTTCAGGTAAAATGGGGCAGACTGTGCTGCAGTGATCCGGTTGATAACTTTGGGAATTGTCTGGTTTTGTAAGTTATCCATTGAACAACCCGGCCAACCTTGTTAGCACTGATTTCCTTTTCACCAGCAGACATGCACATCATTGAACAAGCATTTTGTAATGTGGAATTTTCTATGAGCATCTGGAAAAAGAAGCATCCCAATTATTTCCTTAGTAGCAATGCGTGTATTTGTAATGGAAGTTTTACAATTATTTAACTGCTGTAAGCTATTTTGTGCATGCTCTGGCATTGTATTAACAGCTGAGAAGCAGAGGGCTGTGGCAAACAAGGAAGGCTGGATGTGGATTTTAGAGTTTCAAWGAACAGCAGAGTGCCAGAGTAGATGCAGGACCAGACAATCCTCAAAGCAAATCATAAAGTGAAACTGTTGTGCTTTTTATTTATTTCTTTGGGGATTCTTCTTCAAAGTATTTAACTTCACAGGAAAATATAGAGTATATTTAAAATAGTAACAATTAGAAAGACACCTTTTCAAGAATGAGAGAGGTGTGATTTGAAAAATAAAGTGATCTTTTGTGCTTAACTGCTTGTCTGTAGTTTTGTTAACATAATGTCTGATGCTGCTCACATATYGCATGTATGAACAGAAGAGTTTGGGCAGAACTGTATTGATTTCTCATTACAGCAAGGAAGTGAATAACATCATCATTAGTATATTAACTCATAGTGAATAACACAGTCCTCATATCAACATAGAAAATGCTGGTTATTTTCACAGTGACTTTCAGGCCACTGGGCATCCATGAAGCTACTGCAAATGTTTGGACCAACAGCTGCTGGCTCTGGCTACCAGGATGTGCTGCTGTACTCTCTGGATGAAGTTTATAAAWAAGAATTACACTTTATTAAAAAAAAAAAAAAAGGGCAAATATTGTGAGACTTGGGATTCTGTTTTTGAAAAACAAACCAAAAAAGACTTGATTTTTCAGAGGTTTGTACCTGATAGACCCTTGATTTCTATCAGGCTTCCAAGAAAGGTGGGAGCACTGAATGTTTGATTCATRAATATTAGACCTTTATCTTCCTGGCTTATCAGCCTCACATACTGAACAGAATTCTTGTAAGCCTTGCCTGGATTTCAAAACTTCATGCCCTAAATCACTGACTGTTCTCCATTAACAATGCTACATTCCTCTACCATCTAATCTTTTAAACATTTGCASGTGTGTCACGTTATTTCCTTCATAAAAATACATAACCTTTGTTACCTAGAAAGTGAGAGATGAAATTCCAAAAAGGATGATACTAGGTTGTTGTAAGATCAAGCTGAGGCACCACAGCAAACCATACACTGCCATAATGTAACTAAATCTTATTTCTTTCGTGTCTTGGTTAGTCTTTCAATAGTAAATATGTTTGACAGTTATGAGATTTTGAGAATAAAAGTGAGATTTTTACRTGTGCAGATCCTACTGCTCATTTTAAGAAGCAGATGTGTAGATTCTGAAGCATAAGCTGCCACTCAGCTCAGTTACTAAATTGTGACATATGTGGAAATACTGAGGCGAGGAAGCCTTACTTTTGMAATGGTATGTGCATAATGGAGTACAGGCTGAAAGTAAGTCAGAAAGTGGTATAATCCATGAGAAGAAGCTCATGCTAGAGCCATCTTCATTCCCAGGCCACCTGTCTAAATTAAAAAGAGAGTCGATGATTTTTGCTGTCTTGACAAATCAAGAGGCCTCTTGAGGCCTTTAGGAAACTTTCATTGCAGCCCTCAGCAAAATTTTGATTGTGTTCAAGATAATGCGGTTTGTAGCGAGTGCTGGATATACTAGGCTGGAARGAAAAACACAGTAAAGCATAGAGAGGAGAAAAAGAAGTTGGGTGAGGACAAAGCTAAGAAGAAATGTTCTTTCTCCTTGCTCTGGTAAAGATTCAGTTTCTCTTTGTGTTTAGGTGAAATCAGCAGGGAGGGCTCATGAAGGGAGTGCAGACCAAAGTGGAAATACCACTGCCGTTCCAGTGTTGTGTAGTCAGCATTGTCAGTGCTACAGCCTCAGGATGTATTTCAAAGTTGTTTCTAATTCTAAGTGATGSTCTCATTTGTTAATGAGCAGTGGCAATTGAAGCTTAAAACACCATGACACATCATTTCAGTATGAGTTGGAAAGACCAAATACAGATCAAATCACAATCATTTTATCTTTACAATACAAAGCAAAATGCACATAAACAGGCACTTTTGTTGCTTATTTGTTTTGTATTTTACCCTCTATTAACTGCTGCTTAAGTGTCCTTGTAGGCTATGTTAATTAAATTAAACGTCCTGGAAATTTGGCAATGGTTGCCTTATAGCTCAAGGCAAAAAAGAAATAATCGTATAAGATCTTATTTGAGTGTCTGTATTTCCATATTTTGCCACTGTCTTTCCCTTTCTCTCATCCAAAAATATGCTGACCTTCTGTAGCTGGAAACATGTGTGAGATTTGCCTGAAAAGCACAAACTGAGGTATAGGGATAAAAGCATACCTGATTTAATAAGAGTAGATGCATCACAAAAATACCCCTTGTTGCAGCTGAGTCTCTGGGAGGTGCCTCGTCTRTGCAGTGCCAACTTTAGTCATGTTGATGAATGACTGTTTCTGCTTTTTAAGGTGGTAAACATTTCCTTGAAGGTTGAGGTTTAAATTGCTAAATATTTTTTTCTTGAAGACTGCACAACTCGGGGAGAAACTGCAATATTCACAAGTCTTCACCTCCCTCAGTAACAAACTGTCTGATTGCTGCACAGGAACCCTTCTGGCTTTCAGAGAGGGCACAGGCTGGTTGTTCTCGTTGTGTTTGTGGAAATGCATCCATAGCTCTGTTTGATCAAAAAAAACCCCACACCTCTCTGTATTTTTTGCATGTGAGTGTTCACAGCATGTATATAAGTGAGATAGCATTTTCTCAGCACTGAAATATCACCATCTCTGGAATAAAATCAAGTTGGCAAGAAGGAGATATAAAACATATATTTGGTTTCCTATAACTTGAGCATTGTTTTTTRTAAGGGGACATTCTACACCCTATGGCAGCTCAATTTCTTTTTGGAAACCTGAATATATCCACTGGATCACTGKTATCCTTGTGTTCATTGACTTATTTGAGGCACTAAATGTATTTGTGAATTAATTATCTCTGCTATGAAAGCCATCTTGAGTGTTCCCATTGAGTGTATTTAGGAAGAAATGAAGATGACCCACCCTTGTGTGCACTGTGCTATGGCTTTCACATTTTCACATGTCAGGTCATATGTGTGCTTTAACCTTAGACTTTTCAGTCCCAGCTTTGTTCATAGTCCTCCACTCGCACYTGTGGTGTGGTTCTTGAAGACAGGAGCTGCTGCTGGGCACCTGCAGTGCTGCATGTAGGCAATGAACCTGCTCCAGCCACAGCAGCACAGCTATGGAATAGCCAAGGGCTTTGCTCATCCTCAGAATCACAGCATCAGTTAGATTGGAAAAGATCTCTGAGATCATTGACTCCAATCTGTGACTGAACATCACTTTGTCAAATTGGTGATGGCATTAAATGCCGTCTCCAGTCGTTTCTCAAACACCTTCAGGGATGGTGACTCCACCACCTCTCAGGATTGTCCATTCCAACGTCTAACCACCATGTCTGGAAAAAATTGCTCCTTATGTCCAACCTGAACCTTCTTTGGTGCAGACTGAGGCTGTGTCCTCTCATCCTGTCGCTGGTTGCCTGAGAGAAGAGGCCGATCCCTGCCTGGCTACAGCCTCCCTTTGGGGAATTGTAGAGMCTGATAAGGTCACCCCTGAGCCTCCTCCTCTCCAGGCTAAAATCTTCATGGAGATGTGACTGCATCCTCCCTGATCCACCCTTAGCCACTGYCTCGTGCCTTGGTTTCTCTCAAATTGTTTGATCTGCTGGAGTTTGTACGTGGGGCAAGAAGAGAGACTGAGACACAGCTGTGCTTATTTAATACAAAGATCTCTTTGCCTTGTAGCAGATTAATGCTCACACGTATTTCTGCACACCTGATGTTTGCAAATGACCACAAGCAAWTCAGCTGTGCTAATGCACACGCTGTGCTAATGAGAGATCTCCAATCTGATACAGAGAATTTTGTGAGCTTTGAAAATACAGGCTGTTGTATCCTTAGGTAGGAAGCTTTGTTACGGTTTCCAGGATTGCTGCTTAAAAACCCTGTGAAAGTGATTCTAGCAACAATTACTCCTAATTGCCCTTGCCTTGGAGATGCATGAGACCAAGTCTGAGCTCTGTTCAGAGGTATTTAGTTTTTGATAATCATTTTGCAGCTTGATTTAATGGTTTCATTAGSCACAACATGTACAAAGAGACCATACACAAACAAATGTACTTGCATRTATCAATGAAGGGCATGGTAGGAGTATTAGAAATTTGCTTAAGGCACAGCTGAGGCTGCCTGGTGCAGTTCTGTAAGTGCATTCTGTTTACAAGGCAAATTACTATCAATCCATCACTGCAACGTGTTAAACTGATGCCACTATAAGGATCTGAAGAGGTCTTGATTTCCAGCAGTCTAATGAAATGAACACTTACGATGTGTACTTTAAGAAAGAGAATGTGGTAGAAATAGATCTGTTTCTGTCAGGTGTGTTCTTTATTCTGAATGCCCTGTGCTAAACCTCTGCATAAATATCCTTGTTCTTTTAATTCAGTTGTGACATTATCACATTTTGTTATCAACTKCTGGGTGAAAAGATGTTTTTGCCAAGGTGCTGATATAGCATGGTTTTATTGCTACTTACACTGCTCAGACTTCAGCATCACATAATGGAGGYGATGCTTTATTTTATAGATGTATTTCTAAGCTGAAGTTTCACTATTAATAAACAGATAAATGAGGGTTATTAATATAAATGGAATACATGTCACAGTGATCCTTCAGTCATGTTCTAAGCAATATAGTGTTAGTAGAAGTTTGCTGCCAATATATAAACTTACACTATAGTTATATTTTGATTTATCTGGTTATTGATGATAGTATCAGGTGGAAATTGTTACCTTTGGAAGCAAATGGAACAAGGAAAGAAATTATCTGTGCTTTTGATGCTGTCATAGTACCATCTTGGTTAAAACSTAGTAGGGGGATCAAAAAGCACTGCTTTACAATTAGGCTGTTTGAAGAAATGTGCTTTTCTGCAAAAATACAGGAGATAATAGCAGGGGTTTACAAATATTCCCAATCAACAGCTTTCAGCTGATGTGTAGTTAACTTTTTTCCCATATGTTTAATGGTTCTGCTTTCTTGTCCTGCTCCTTGCAGTTTCATCCTCTTTTGTAACCCCAGTGTGGAGGGCTTTCTGTCAGTGATAGTTCTTTTCTCCAGCTCTCAAGTTCAATCTACTGAAAGGGGAATAAAGCATATAAAATTACTATRCAGATGTTTTCTTTGTCCATGTTCTCATACAGACTTGCTGCAAAGGTTTATTTAAGTGGAGGGAAATGCAGCTAGCTCCCTCATCAAGAGCATCGATCCCAGCTGCAGAGCTGGGGAAGTATTTGGGAACACTGAATACAGGRTTAGTA